GGAAATCATGGAAGAGCTGGGAATAGCGAACCTAGAAGAACATAGCGGGGAGCCCACCTGCCAAGGAGAGAGAAACAGGTGGGCAACCAGCCCTTGGAGTCACTTCCGACCTCCATGTTCACCGTCCAGCCCTGCACACATGCACCAGAGACCTCAGCTTAGGGTCACCCAGGCTGACCACCCTAACCTCTCACCTGTCAGCTGTGGGAGAGGGATGTGGAAGGGGCCATGCCACAGAATGATTCAGAGAGGGGGACCTAGAGAATGAAATGCACAGCCTGGTCTACTCTGTCTCCAGATCTTTCATGAGGCACCATGGCCCACAGGGAAAAGCGCAGGACTGGGAGTCAAGAGACTGGAGTCTAGTTTTACGACCGCAAAACTGCTGCCATCAGGCAGGAGGACAACCTGGCCTTTTCCCCACATGTGCAGAGCAGAGAGAAAAATATCTGCCTTAGAGCCACAGGAGGTTCCAAGTGAGTTGGACCCATCTTACAGGTGAGGCAAGCAAAGTCCAGAGAGACGAAATGATTTTCATAAGTTTGCACAGCTGGGTGGCAGTCACACGTGGCTGACAAATCACATTCCACTTCAGGGCAGTTCCTACACTGGCACAGAGCTAGAATAAAGATAATCTGTGGGAAAGTATTTGGGAAAGGTAAAAGCTCTAGACAAAGGGAAGCTCTTGTCAGTGCTATTGCCTTTCATCAGCACACCTTGGTCCTGTTCTGCTCCAAGGTGAGCATCCCCTGTGAGAGTGGGCTCTTGGCAAGTGTCAGCTGTGTCACCAGCACTAGCTGGTCATGCTGCTGTCTGAGGTGACAGAACCAGGGATGGAAGGGAATAACTGGCCTCCTCCAGGCCCCAGGGTGCCAGAATTGTGACCTGGAAGATGGTATGATCGGTTCCATTCTCCTGTTTACATTTCCACACACCAATGGCAATCAGCAATAAGGTTTCCTTAGGAGAGGGAACATGTTTTGCGAATAATAATTCCATCTTTAATCCGTGAGGTACACCAGGTCAGTAATCCACAAAGTGCTTGAAAGCAACTCATTTGGCTTTTGCTTCAGCATACCCATTCCATGCTTTAGTTCACCCAGTTTCCAGACCTTTTGTCCTCTAACCGGTTTAACGAATGTGCAAACATATTCCCAAACAGCCTCCAAAACAGATTATTACCAACAGACTGGAGAATGACGCAAATGTAGGCCATCTACATAAGTGAAACAAGGGGAGCCAAAAGGGATCATTGGTGTGGCTTAAAGCATGGAGATGGGCTACATCCACAGGGCTGAATTCACAATTGCTGGCTTTAGCAATTTAGCCTGGTTCTTTCTTAACCCAAGCCTTGGGTGGGTCCAATCCTTTCATTTCAAGAGCCCCCCTCCCCAAGACCCACACCCACTCCCCAACCCCACATACACACAGATGGCAAAGCCACCACCGCTCATTTCCCTCTTCTTTGGTGGTATCCACTGGGACACAATTCCATTGGCATAATTAGGAGGACACCAGAGAGAACTCAGCTCCATGCATTTTTTATGAGAAATGAGTCAATAATTTCTTATTTGTCCCCACACTCTCCCAGAGAAAGGAGCTCGAGCAGAGGGAGCTGCAATCTTAGATAAGCAACTCCCAAAAGCATGGGTAACAAGACAGCCTGTGGTGAAAGTGAGCCATTGATCAGAATTCTCCTACCGAAGGGATTTTCCCCAGCCTAGTCCAGGTTTGATGGGTGGGGTGCTCTTCATGGCCTCCCCAACCTCCTCTAAGCCCCACTAGCCCTTCATTCCTACTAATTCAATGGTGCCTTTTAACAAAAGGCCGGTGCTGCAAAATCAAGCTGGGTCTGTCCCTCTGCAAGCATCTTAAACTGCCCATCTCATGGCAACACAGTTGCCTTGGGGAAAATGCAGCTGCCCACTTCCCTGTGCCCTGTATCCAATGTCCCCACCACAATCACCAAGCCAAGGGAAGGGGTGAGCCACATACAGGAAACTTCTCAATCAGTTTTGACTCAACTGTGTCCTTCAGTATTTTATCCCTATTTTATCAACACTGTCACTATTAAGAACAGAGAAGAGTCAGAAGGGGACTCATTATTGCTGTGGCCATATGATTTGCTGTGCCATCTTGAGTGAGTCATACTCCCCCTGAGTCTGTTTCCTTATTTGTGAGCTAAAAGGGTTGAACTAGGGACCAGCCCAGTGGCACAGCAGTTAAGTTCACACGTTCTGCTTCGGCGGCCTGGGGTTTGCCAGTTCAGATCCCAGGTGCGGACCTGTGCACCACTTGTCAAGCCATGCTGTGGCAGACGTTCCACATATAAAGCAGAGGAAGACGGGCACGATGTTGGCTGAGGGCCAGTCTTCCTCAGCAAAAAGAGGAGGATTGGCGACAGATTTTAGCTCAGGGCTAATCTCAAAAAAAAAAAAAGGTTAAACTAGGTGACCTCCATGGTCCTACTGGGCTCTGACCTTCAATAGGTCTACTTATCCTAACCCTGCAAGTGCCCTCATCCCATCCCACCTTCTTCCCACCCCCACTGCAGGTAAGAGGTCAGGGTGCCAGGCCTCCTGTTTTAGAATCAGCTTCTGGAGATGAGACTCATGCACATGAGATTTCAGAACTCACCAAACTACAGCTACCAGTGAACTCAAATAACCCACTGTCCAAATGCCATGCCTTCAGGCAAGAAAGGCAGTATTTTCCCCAAGATGTAGATAGGAAAACTGTACTGCAGAAAGGCTGAATGACATGCACACAGTTCCTGGCTCTCCTAATAGGTGATACCAAGAGAACTAGAAGCCAAATATTCAGGTTCCTCACGCTGATCTCCCCCAACACCACCACAATTGTCACAAAAAGGCATTATTTCGGGTGTCAACCAAAGCTTTAGAAGGAATTACCAGATACAAAACCAAGTCTTTGTGGAAGCAAATCGTAGCTACAGCCCCTTAATATTCATATTATTACTTACGATCAAGAGATTGTAGTAAGGCTTTGATGCTAAACTCTTTGCCAACTAGAAAGCTACAGATAAATGATGCTTTTCCTGTCTACAATCTATTTCGTGAAACTAGAAATCAGAAGCCGTGTCGGGGTCCCTACAATTAATGGCAAAGGAGTTCCAACACAGCAGACACAGTGTTTGGGGAGAAGCCGTCTGCTCTGCTAACCTCCAAGGTAATCTTGACACATTCACATATGTGTTTGTAGCTCTGCCAATGTTTAATAAGAACCCAGGGAAGACGAAGAACTGTTCTATTTATCTGTAAAATTTCAATGCCATTGTTATAAATAGCAAATGGTTTATTTTAAAAGCTTGAGTGGTTTTTTTAAAGTTAAATTTCATTTCCCATATGTGTGTATAAGAAGCTCTTTTAGGTTGAAATAATTCATTTGAATTATCTAAGCCAAAATGATCATCTTTTCCTCTCTAACGAACATAAAATTTTCTAGAAATGTGTTCACGGAGAAAAATATCCTTCTCAACATGTACTAAAATTCACATTTAAGAATCCCAACATTCACTTTAGGGGTGATTTTGTTCTCGTAAATGATCAGTCTCGACTCATTTAATCCCCCCACAAAATTAACACATGCCACTCAGAGAACTCTTCCTTGGGATTTTAAAGTATGTTAAAACACACCACACAGGTAAAAGCAGGGGTTGTCCTAAGTCTAGAGCATCTGAACGTCATCTCTTCTTCCCTGCAAAGAGCAGCGGTAGGCAGTTGGGTTCTCACAAAGGGAGAGGCTGGAGTCCTTGCCCACTACTGATACTGATCTGAAGGCAGAGAGGCATTGTTATGCCACCAGCAAGACACAGAGTCACCGGCCAGGTCCTGTGATCCTGGCAGGGAGCTGACTGTTCCTTCCAACTATCTCAAGGTTAAGTCCCAGCAGTCCATTAGCCCTGAGAATGTGTTTTGCCTCAACTCAGCCTCCACATGGCTTCCTGGATTACCCACTCAGTTAACAGCCCAGCCAGACTGAGACCTCTGGGACTCCCTGTAATCTGAGGCAACGAGGGTCCATTGCTAAAGAGGCTGAAGATTTACGAGATGAACTGCCTTATCTTAATCCATCTGGAGCGTCAGCTAAGGAGTAGGAGAAGAGAAGGACAAGCCCCATAGAACACTTAAACCAGATAAGACTTTGACAGTGCAATGACTTGAGAACTTGCTTTTTCAAAGGAGAAAATCACTTTAATGGCCCTGCCCCTTCCTGTTGCAACATGTCTCAGGCACCCATTCACTGACTGTTTAAGCATGCCCTGATTCCAACACATTTACAGGGCATTTATCGTCTTTTAATTCTGTGGCCTGCAGGATTAAGAATCCAAACAGTGTGATCCAATCACAACACTACTCCTCTTAGTCACGAGAGCCTGATTTAACCATAGCCTGACTCCCGCGGCAAATTTAGTAAAGGATGAATGTGGAAAACTGAATGCCCGGTCACCTCCAAAATTCATTTTAGCAGAGAAACAACTCATTCTTTTCCAACATTTACCAAAAGAAAAAAAAAAAGCAAGCAAGCAAGTAAACATGGAGGAAAACAGTGTCTTTGTTGCCAGGAGTTAATTAGCTATGAAACAGCCAAAGGTCAGCAGCAGAGGATAGACAAGCCGCCATAATTAGAATAATGAATAGGTAGGCATTCAGCAATTGCATACGGAGTAAAAGATTCACCAATGCAGTGACAGTGCATGCCTGCTCCAGCAGCCCCACCACCCCTGAGCCAGCAGCTTGCACTCCATGTGGAGTAAGAGGGAAGCCTTTGGTCTCTTCCACATCCAATCACTGACATGCAGGGCCTCCACAGCTCCAAAGGACAAGAACAGCAGGCAAGGATATTTATCAAGCATGCTCCCTCTGTTCCGGACATCAGTCATGCTAGTTCCCACTCATTCAATTACTCTTCCGTTGACCACCCACATTTAATCCAGCTTTAAAGACAAGACAACAAGGTCTGAGATTTGAGGGATGTACCTGACTCTCTCTCCCCTCCAGGGGTGGTGGAATCTGATCAGCAAAACCAATCTTCCCTGGATCACCCATAAAGGCACTAACCTCATCCACGTTCTCAAAAGCGTTGATGACATCATAGGGCAAACAGGAGAGAAGGTCAATCACAAACCACGTCTTCAGGTAGTTCATGCGGATGAGTTTGGGGTCGGAAATCACCTCCCCAGCTGGTCCAACAAAGGTGGTGTGAAAATTCAGCACAATGTCCACCAAGAAGATGACATCCACGATGCTATCCACAACCAGCCAGGCCACGTTGTTCTGCCTGGTTTTAAAGGAGACATTGTAAGGGACCAAGATGGCTGTATAGAACGTTAAGATCAAGATGATCCAATCCCACGTGGTCTTAAAAACACAGTAATGTAAGATGATGTGAGGGGGAGTCTTTGGTGCCTCTTGCTTGTACTGGGGAAGGATGTCTGAGCCCAGCTGCAGGACCTGTACAGAAAAACACAGGCAAGAGAGAACTATGTTAGGATTTCATTGCAAGCACCTAACCAGTCAGCATCTGTCACTGACAAATACTCATGACACTCCAAACAGACCATTAGGTACAGGAGCAGTACTAGAAGAGAATGGGAGAATGGAAGTAAACATTATAATATAAATAATCATAATGAAACAATGACAAACTATTGTTTGGCTTACTGTGAGCCAAGCATTGTACTAAATACTCCACCTACATTTATTATCTGACTTAATTCTAAATACAACCTTGTTTTATTAGCCAGTTATTATTCTAGGTGACAAGAGACAAACTGAGGCTCAAGAGAATTAAGCAACTTTTCTCAACAAGTATTTATTGCTCTGTGCAAGGAACTGTTCCAGACACTGGACATACAGCAATGAAGAAAACAGCATGACTCCTTCTTTCCTAGAGCTCAGTCTAGCAGACAAATCAAGATAATTTCAAATTGTGATAAGAGCTAAACAAGAAGTGGGAGAGACACACAGTGAGTTGATAGGATGTGACTTGACAAATAGGAGAGAGAGACAGTTTGAAGGGAAACCTGAATGACAACAAGGAACCAGCCATTCAAACTCATGTGGAAAAATTATCTGAGGCAGGGAGCATAACTGGTCTAATGACCTGCAGGTAAGACAAGCTTGATAGTTTCAGGAAAAGGAAGAATTCTGGTGTGACTGAAGCATGCTGAATTCAGAGGAAAGGGAAGATGATGAGCTCAAAGGGGAAGGAGAAACCAGACCACAAAGGATCTGGTGGACCCTGGGAAAGTGTTGCATTTTATTCTCAGTATTTCTGAGTACAGCTGGAGGGTTTTAAGCAGGAGAATAATAATCCGATACATGTTTTTAAAAGTTCACCCTGGCTGCTGTGTAGATAATGAATTGAGGCAAAGGGTTAGAGGGAAGAACAGAATGAGAGAAGCTATTACAACAGCCTGGGAACAAAGATGGGGTGATGGAGAAAAGTAGTCTGATTTCGGATATCTTTTTTATGTAAAACCAGCTGGACTTGCTGATAGCTAGAAAGTGAAGAAAAGGGAGCAATGAAAGGTACCCATTACTTTATTCTAAAAACCCAGCATAGTGGTTTGTCCAGAGTAGGCACTACAAGATGGTTTTTAAGTGACTGACTAAACTCCAAGGTCATACAGTTTGCAAAAGATGGAACCAGGATCCCAAACTAGATCCATCTGGAGTAAAAGCACATGCTGTTCCACATCAAGGTTACATTTTCCTAAATCACAGGTTTTTAAGGAAGCAGACTCAGTGAAAGATGAAGTCCAGAGAAACTCAGCTCCAAGAAGGTATCACAGATGGGTTTCACCCTCAATAGTCAAAGGCAAAAAGCTATGCTTCTAGAAGCCAGCCCAAGCTGGAAGGGACCCCCAGCCCACGAGCTGCTCCTCTGTGCCTCTTACAGTTTCTTATAAATCTCTAGGTGAAATATCCTATTGTGTCTTGGGAACTTCTTTTCTCCTCTAGAGGTTAAAGACCTCTTAGTGAATATAAAATAATCTGAATGAATATCCGTTCCCTATGGTTGCCCCAGGCCTTAAAAGGTGCACAAAAGCAAGAACTCCAGAGTGTCCGGTGTGCTTCTTTGGGTTTGGGAACTGTTTCCACCCCTCCCACCAATGCACAGGGCTCTTCCAGGCCTGGAATTTTAATTTCTCTCCAATGGAAAGAAATTTATATGAGGGAGATTAAGGAAGCTTGAGCCCTGAGACTTCAGACAGGAAAAGGGATTGACCTGTAAGAATAAAGCAAATAAAATTAAGCTGAATAGGACTTTTGCTTCCAGAAAGATGGAGGAGGCATACTTTCCCCTATGCCTCCCTCTAAGTACAACTAATAGCCCTGGACATTATATATAAAACAAATATAAGAAGACTCTGGAAGGTAGAGATAGGAAAGAAAACTGGCTAGGAACAACAGAAGGTTGAGTTCTGTGGGTTTGCTTTTTGCCTCATATATTCCCTGACTTGGAGCACAAGAAGCCAGAAATCTAGAAACACCAATGGGTGCAGACAAAAAAGTCCCAACAAATGCTCCCTGTCTCTAACAAAAGAACTGGGAGAGAGGCAGCCTCAAAGGACAGAAAACTTTTAGATAATAACCACCCTACCATAGCCAAACACCACAGAAAAAGCAGATTCCAAAACCAGACAAAGACAGAACAAAAAGAAGAAAACTACAGACCAATAGCTCCCATAAATACTGATGCAAAAATCCTTAACAAATAGTAGCAAACAGAGTTCAGCAATATATAGAAGAATGACTACGTAGGGTGTATTTCAAGGGTGGAAGGCGGAGTCAACATTCTAAAATCAATCAATGTAATTCACCATATTAACAGGCTAAAGAGGAAAAAATCACATGATCATATTAATTGATGTAGAAAAAGCATTTGACAAAATTCAACATCCATTCATGATAAAAATTCAGAAAAAATAGGAATAGAGAGGAATTTTTTCAGCTTGATAAAGAGCATCTACAAAAAACCTACAGCTAACATCGTATTTAATGGTGACAGGCAGAAGGCTTTCCGCCTGAGATCAAGAACAAGGCAAGATATCAACTTTCCCTATTCTTATTCAACACTGAACTCTTATTCAATAAGGCAAAAAAAAAAGAAAAGAAAAGGTATCCAGATCATGAAGGAAGAAATAAAACTATCCCTATTTGCAAATGACATAATGTTGTACACAGAACATTCCAAGGAATCTACGTATGAACTTATGTGTGTCACACAATACAAGATAAATGCACGAAAATCACTGTATTTCTATATACTAGAAATGAGCACCAAAATTATACAATACCACTTATAATCACTCAAAAACTACCTAGGTTTAAGTATAATGAGACATGTACAGGATTTTTATACTGAAAACAAAAAAATACTGATACAAGTGATCAAAAAAGATATAAATGAATGATGAGACATACTGTGTTTGCAAATTAGAAGACAGTGTACTCGAGATGTCCATTATCTCCAAATTGATATGCAGATTTAGCACAGTTCCTATCAAAATGCCAGCAAGAGTTTTTGTGACTATAAAATATACACAAGATTATTCTAAAATTTATATGGAAAGGCAAAGGAACTAGAACAGCTAAAACAATTCTGAAAATGAAGAATAAATAGGAGGAATCAGTCTAGCCAGTTTCAAGACTTGATATATAGCTACAGTAATTAAGACTGTGTGGTATTGATAGAAAAATAGACTTTTAGATTAATGGAACAAAATAGAGAACCCAAAAATAGACCCACACAAATATGCCCAACTGATTTTTGACAGTGGTGCAAAAAGTAATTCAGTAGAGGAAAGGCAGCCTTTTTAACAAATGGTGCTGGAGCAAAGGACATTCAAAGGCAAAAATATGAACCCAAATATAAGTCTCACATCTTATACAAAAATGTCAAAAATAGATCTCAAAACAGATTGAAATGGATTACAGACTCAAATGTAAAATGTAAAACTATAAAAATTTTAGGAGGGACCAGCCCCGTGGCCAAGTGGTTAAGTTCGCACACTCCGCTTCAGTGGCCCAGGGTTCGGATCCTGGGCACGGACAAGGCACTCCTCATTAGGCCATGTTGAGGCGGCATCCCACATGCCACAACTAGAAGGACCTACAACTAAAATATACAACTACGTACTGGGGGGATTTCGGGAGAAAACAGCAGGGAAAAAAAAGAAGACTAGCAACAGTTGTTAGCTCAGGTGTCAATCTTTAAAAAAAAAATTTAGGAAAAAACATAGAGAAAATCTTGGGGCTCTAAGGCTAGGCAAAGTGTTCTTAGACTTGGCACCAAAAGCACAATCCATAAGAAAAAAAACTGATAAATTATATCTCATCAAAATTCAAAACTTTTGCTGTGCAAAGACTCTCTTACAAGGATGAAAAGTTAAGCTATGACTTGGAAAAAATATTTGCAAACCACATATCCAAGAAAGAAATAGTATCCAGACTATATAATTTACAATATATAATCTCAAAACTCAACAATAAAAAACAAACAATCCAATCAGAAAATGAGGAAAAAGCATGAATGGACATTTCATTCAAGAGGATATACAGACAGATGGCAAATAAGCACATGAAAAGACATGCAACATCATTAGCCATTAGGGAAATGCAAATTAAAACTACAATGAGACGGATGTGATGGATGGAAACTCGACTTTTGCTGGTGAACACGATGTAATGTGTAAAAAAGTCAAATTATAATGATGTACACTTAAAATCTATATAATGTTATAAACCAATGTTGCCTCATTAAAAAAAAAGACTACAATGAGATATCACTATGCACCCATCAGAATGGCTAAAATAAAACATATGATGACACTAACTGCTGGTGAGGATGCAGACAAACTAGATCACTCATATATTGCTAGTGGAAATATAAAATGGAACAGCCACTCCAGGAAAGTCTTGCAGTTTACTAAACAACTAAATATCTAACTACCATATGACCCAAGAATTGCACTCCTGGGCATTTATCCCAGAAAAATGAACACCTATGTTCACACATAATCCTGTACGTGAATGTTCATAGCAACTTTATTCTTAATCATCAAAAACTGAAAACAACCCAGATGTCCTTCAACAGGTGAATGGTTGAACGAACTGAGGTACATCCATACCATAGAATACCACTCAGCAATAAAAAGGTACAAACTACTGGTACATGCAACAACCTGGATGAATCACCAGAGACTGAAAAAAATCAATCCCCAAAGATAATATACTGCATGAGTCCATTTATATAACATCCTTGAAATGACAAAATTATAGAAACAGAGAACAAATTAGTTGTTGCCAAGGGTTTAAGGAGGCAGGGAGGGCAGGAAGGAAGTGGGTGTGGCTATAAAAAGGCAACATGAGGAATTCTCGCGATCGTGGAAATGTTCTGTATCCTGACTCTACCAATATCAGTATCTTGGTTGTGATGTTGCAGT